TTTCCTTTGCATTTTATCTTGGCATCATTACTAGCTTAACTCTTGATCTGTGTTGAATGATGTACCAATTTGACGTTGAAACTAGTCGCCAAGCTGGATTGGTGATTACGATAATATGCAAATAGTTCATAGGTGCAGAGTTTAAATTGTTTCTTGAACATTTATGTGCCTTTACATGAAGCTGTTCTTTAAGAGATCTCAATGTAATCAAAAGTGTAAGGCTATTAGGCTATGGATATTTCTACATTAAAATCGTAAAAGTATACTTTAGCCATCCTTTTAAGGGAGACACTCACTTTGTGTTATGTGAAAGTATCAACTACTTACAATGTTTCATTAGGTTGTGTTTCATATTGTCCTTTTACTAACAAGACGAGCGCGCCCATGTGTGCTCTAAATCATTGGCATTTCATTAGCTGCTATTAGAGTAGAATATTAGCCCATTTACTTTGACTGTTTGATGCTATTAAAGTGTATACAGAGATTTTGTTCATAATTAAGTAATGCTACCTAAGCAGGAATAGCTGCATTCGAGATAGAATACAGCCAATGGGTGGAAGAGCAACAAAAAAAGAATGCAGAATTGCGGAGTATTTTGCAGTCTCCTGTAAGCGATATGGAGCTTCAGTTGCTAGTAGAAAATGTCTTAAGCCACTATTTCAATCTCTTTCGCATGAAAGCTGATGCCGCCAAGGCTGACGTGTTTTACTTAATGTCTGGGATGTGGAGAACTTCCGTCGAGCGTTTCTTCCTCTGGCTTGGAGGATTCAAGCCATCAGAACTCATAAATGTAGTCCCTGGTGCACTTTACTGCTTATTATGAACTATTTTACCTTCATTTGCTTTTGAGTTTCTCGTAGCATTTTTCATGCATAAATTTCCTGAACTAGGCACAAATCCTATCTGATGTATAGGTCATTTGACACCATATAGTTTATATTACTTCATTCGTCACCAAATGGAAAGCAGAGCATTTATGAACGCGAGATTTCTAATTGTATATCAACTTTACACAGGTGGTGATGCCACAACTCGAGCCCTTGGCTGATCAGCAAGTCATTAAAGTGTGTAATCTGCGACACTGTTGCCAGCAAGCTGAAGATGCTCTCACACAGGGAATGGATAAACTTCAGCAGACTCTCGCTCAGAGCATCCTAAATATGAACACAGGAGCTGGAAATTACACTTCCCAAATGGTTTCTTCTATGGAAAATTTAGAAGCATTGGAGAGCTTTGTTAACCAGGTTTGTCTCACTTTCACTGTCGTTCTGTATCTCAACGCGTTCAATGGTCATTCAATATCGTCTAAAATCGAGTGTAAAGATGACTGCAATCCTGAAAGAAACTGATGCGTACGTTCAACTAGTATACATGGTCCTTCAATTACAACGAAAAATCTGCTAAGGTTTGAAACCTCTATAATCTGTCAAACCTCTATTATATCGAAATGATGTTATGTATTCTATATAACATAACATGAAAATTGAGTTCTAAAGAAAACTAGGTCATTGTACTGAAATGTTTGTATAGAAAATGATTGTTACTGAAAGGTCTAACAATGATACTGTATTCTTGAATGATAATGTAATGTTGTTGCTTTGATTTGTAAACAGGCGGATCACCTTCGACAGCAAACACTACAACAAATGTCTATTATTTTGACAACGCACCAAGCAGCTAGGGGCTTACTTGCTTTCGGGGAGTATGTTCAACGTCTTCGTGCTCTGAGTTCACTCTGGGCAGCCCGTCCTCGTGAACCTACCTAAATGATCTGTTCATCAGACACAACTGGGATGAACTTAACTAGATTATGTTTGATGTTGTTGGTAATGCTAGCTCGAGCTGTAAATGGGAATGTACGTTATCATAGTTTTGCTTGCTTAGGCGGATTTAGCTATTTACTAGTATTTGAAATACATATTTTCGAGGAAACGAAATTTGTGTATATATATTTGGATGTTGTATATAGGCTATATAGCAATGGAATAATTTGGTTGATTGTTTTTGAAGATTTATGTGAGGTTAGAAAACTTATTATGAATGCTGAAACTTCAGTTTTTGGTATAAAAAGTGCATAAGTAAGGTGTGTTGACTCAAGGAAATTTTTAGGACAAATGCTATTACTCTCTCTATCCAATTCACGATGACACACTTTCTTTTTTAGTTCGTCCTACAAAGATTATTACCTTTCTATAATTAATTAAAAATAAATTAGATAGTTTCGATAAACAACGAAACGTTTTATTAGATACTCAAAACAAACTATAAGAAAATAAAATTTGAATTCAAAACATAGTAAGAATTGAACGAATTGAATTATTATCCGTTTTTTTTGCTCATTTCAATCCAATTCGCTTAAATCCAAATAACATTTAAGCGAGTCAATGATCCGTCTATTTATTAACTCAACACGTTTTGACATTCTCAAATTCATCCCAAGTCGTTTATTTGATACCCCTAATCTTAAGCATATCATCAAAGTAATCAAGGCATCTTTAATGGAAACATTTTTTGGCCTTTTGGATAAACAAATACATATGAAAGCATACCAATTTTTGTAGCAACTGCACTTAGTCATATGCAATACTGCAGATATAAACGTATGAAATTTATGTAAAAATGGTTGAAGTCCAATTATATTATGGCCAAAAATTTAATTATATATGACCTGAAATTCATATAAAAATTATTGAAATTGCTTGCTTCCTTCCAAGTTGTGTGAAGTTGGGCAAAACAAGTCAAACTGCATACACGTATGTCTGAACTTCATTGCACATGTAAAGTAGATTTAAAAGCGACTAAACTTGAAAAAATGAGAAACTTTAGCTACGACTTAAATGAGGGTCTTGAAATCAAGTTCATTAACTTGAACCACAATAGTAAGGTAAGGACCAATACCAAAAAAAAGAAAGATGTATATTCCTTGGACCCCATATATCATTTGAAACAATTTGGTCCAAATCAACTAATCCAGTATCCACCTCAATCAGTCTAAATGTGTGAATAGTACTTAATAATTACACATAATAATGACTTATTAATAATATAATAGAAATAATATTAAATTAATTAAAAAGTGAAATAGAGAGGTGAAATAGAGAACGTAGTATTCAATATAGAGAATGGAGAAGACATTCTCTATTCTTCCCTCCAAATATAGAGAATGAAGGATAAAATAAAGATTAACTCTTTGACATAGTTATATTAGTAACTTTATTTTAAAATAACGCTATGTTATTTATTTTATATAACTATATTATATAAGCGAATGTTGAGGAGCTAAGGGTCAGCCGGTCAATTAACCGGTTTGCCCTTCTCCTCAACTTCTTCTATTTATATTTCGTATTTTATCTGTTATAATTTATTATTATTTTAATATTTTCTTTTTTAAATACTATGTATTTATAAAAATAGTATTAAAAATTAACTTAAAATATTATAAATTTGATCACCTCTTGAAATTTCACATGTATTGCATAATTAGTACTGAGAGAGTACCATATATTATTTGAAAATCACATTAAGTGTTCTATAAATATAACTATATTATATAAGCGAATGCTGAGGAGCTTAGGGTCAGCCGATCAATTGACCGGTTTGCCCACTTCTTCTATTTATATTTCATATTTTATCTATTATAATTTATTATTATTTTAATATTTTCTTTTTTATATACAATGTATTTATAAAAATAGTATTAAAAATTAACTTAAAATATTATAAATTTGATCACCTCTTGAAATTTCTCATGTATTGCATAATTAAGACTGAGAGAGTACCATATATTATTTGGAAATCACATTAAGTGTTCTATAAATATAACTTATTGTATAAGCGAATGTTGAGGAGCTTAGGGTCAGCCGGTCAATTGACCAGTATGCCCTTCTCCTCAACTTCTTCTATTTATATTTCGTATTTTATCTGTTATAATTTATTATTATTTTAATATTTTCTTTTTTAAATACTATGTATTTATAAAAATAGTATTAAAAATTAACTTAAAATATTATAAATTTGATCACCTCTTGAAATTTCTCATGTATTGCATAATTAAGACTGAGAGAGTACCATATATTATTTGGAAATCACATTAAGTGTTCTATAAATATAACTTTATTGTATAAGCGAATGTTGAGGAGCTTAGGGTCAGCCGGTCAATTGACCAGTATGCCCTTCTCCTCAACTTCTTCTATTTATATTTCGTATTTTATCTGTTATAATTTTTTATTATTTTAATATTTTCCTTTTTATATGCTATGTATTTATAAAAATAGTTTTAAAAATTAACTTAAAATATTATAAATTTGATCACCTCTCAAAATTTCAAATGTATTGCATAATTAGGATTGAGAGACTATCATATATTATTTGAAAATCACATTAAGAGTTCTATAAATCACAATAATTAACAACTTAAAATATTTGAAAATCATATTAAAATGTGATTAATTCTCAAAATTTCACATGTACCACATAAATTGGCACAAAGGGAGTAACATATATTATTTGAAAATTACGTTAAGGGTACTATTAATCACAACTTAAACTATTTAAAAATATATTAAAATTTTGATTAAATCTCAAAATTTAACATGTGTCATATTAATTCGGACTGGGAAATAACATATACTATTTAAAAATTACATACTTGAAATATGTTTTAAAATATATATTAAAAATTTAATTAATTCTCAAAATTTCACATGTGCCACATAAATCACAATAATTAACAACTTAAAATATTTTTAAAAATATATTAAAAATTAATTCACTCGAAATATCTCATGTGCCAAAGATATCATTTGAAAAGTACGTTAAAAATATAATAAAAATAATAAACAATAAAAAAATTTAAAAATTTAATTGACTCTTCTAATTTTATGTGTTATCACATAAATTAAAATAACTAAATAAATATATATTGGGTCGGGCGGGCTTTTATGTGTAGTGTATATATATACTGTAAGTAGGTTTATTTGCCTACCTATCTACCTAGTTTCTCCCCTCTTCTCTTTGCCGGCGAGAGCTCTGTTTGTGGCTGAGTAGAGCTACTCGAAGAGGCTCATCTTCTTCAAGTAAAGCTATATTACAGTATTATCTGAATTATTTGATGATTAGTGAACTCTTTTGAAACTGATTTACCCGTATTCATCGTAGATTCATTGCATTCCATGGCTAAACGACTGCACAGTTTTGCTCTAAATAAGGTTAGTACTTTCTCTTCTTTTTCTCTCACACAAACATTCTTCCATGATAACTTGTAAAATTTCATCATCACAATATATTCTGTGCCTGAATTAAAAACGTTGAAACCTGGTGATGGTGGTAGAGTCAAGTTTGGCTGGGGGTGACAAGTTCATGAACAAATTTCCTACATTGTATAGTTTAATCAAGAAAGAGTTGCTATAGTTTAATGCAGAGGCAAGTAGGCCATTAGTACTTGAATTGGCCTTGGAAAGTGTTGTGAGGTCTTTAGCACCTTTAAAGTTACCTTCTTTGATTGGATTGTGATAATCAGAGGAAGTCCCAGGACTATGTAGAACATCTCTTTTCTTGTTGCTGGCATAGACAACAACTATGGGATCTTTTCTGAACATGAGTGGAGTGCATGCCAAGGAATATGTAAGATTTACTGATATGTTGGCAATCCCAGAAAGTCAGGAAAGATCTGAAGAAAATCTAAGGAGCTATTTTAAATTTTAGATGTATTCAAAATTTAATTTTTTTGGTGCAAGGGAGATATAGTAGATAACGGTGTTTTTGGAATGTAAGTGATACTGCTATGCAGTAGCTAATAATTTTTGTGTACCTCCTTGTACTTCTGTTGATGTAACTTTACCTTATCAAAAAGAATCTGTTATGTCTTATTTAATTGAAAAGTATGTTGATTTTGTAAGATTTTGGTTGTCATTTATGGTACCAATGGATTGATTTGATGAAACTTTTTTTTTCTTTCTTTTATAGTGTCAAAAGAGAGTCTGCATTGCAAAAGATCGCATAAGTCAATTACCTGATGAAGTTTTGGTACATATACTATCTTTTCTTACTGTTGAAGAAGCAGCTAACACAAGTGTCCTCTCAAGGCGGTGGCTAAGCTTGTGGAGATACATTGATCGGCTTGATTTTGATGCTACCAAACCCTTGGATAAAGTAGCCTTGCAACCCAAGCTACGGAAAAGGCAAATGAAGAAGTATCTTAGATGGGTCAGCTGTACTTTGCAAATGTGTAAAGGGCAGAGACTAGACCAATTTCGGGTTTGTTTTGATTTGAACAAATTCGCGCGGCATGAGATTGATAAATGGATTGAATTTGCGTTTTCTAGGAATGTTCAAAGACTAGAGTTAGACTTATTAAAGGGTGGAGAGCACATTCGTAATTTTGGTTACTGTTATACTTTTCCAGCATGGCTCCTTGGTCTTGGTGATTCTGCTGACTCTTCTTCTTACATACCTCATTCTAATGACCTCCAAATACTCTCACCTGTCAAGCAGAACTTCAAGTCTCTAAAAGTGCTGCTATTTAAATCAGTAAATGTCACGGGCAAAGTTCTTGAGTTCTTTCTACACAATTGTCCATTTCTTGAAACAATGGCAGTTCATGGATCAGGAACTTTGGTAAATTTGGAAGTTGTTGGTCCGTCCCTCAAGTTGAGACACTTGGAGATACAGTACTGCTACAAAGTAGAATCACTTAAAATTTGTGATACAAACCTTGTAACATTAAGGACTTCAGTAGGAACGAAATTACTGCTTAAGAATGTCCCAATGCTGGTTGAGGTGAAAATTTCTAGTGCGGCATTCAACCATATTTTGAATGACATATCCTCTTGTCTTTCCTGTGTTATCTCTCAGCTTGTGGTCCTTCATTTAACTACTCATTCATGGGTTAGTAAACAAAATTTTGTGTCTATCTACCTATGTTTTTTGCTGGCACTAACTGGTGCCTTCTATTTAGTTTAAACTTTCGCAGGAAAAATTGGAGCATTACAATTTTCCTCAACTTACTAAGCTCAAGAAATTTGTCCTCACTACATGCGGACAGAAAGACAGGAGTCTCTTAGGTTGCACGTCTATAATAAGGGCTGCTCCCCAGTTGAAGGAATTTGAACTACAGGTAAGTATCATGTTTTGAGTTCTTTTTCCTCTTTGGCTGGTACAAGAGTCTGATTTATTCGTTTTAGCAATTATGGTTCATGTAGTTACTTATGCTATTTCTTGAGTATATTACTTATCCTGCTTGAGTTGAAACAATTGTGGTGAGCTGAACTTTAATGCATGATACTTTTGCATCGTTTTTAACTCGCTCGACTGTGCATACATGAAGTCCCTGCGCTTACCTAGGGGTCATTTTTCAATAGGTTCTAGACAGCTGTATCGATGTTGAGCACTTTTTTCTTATCGAAAAAAGAGCGTATACTCTCATCACTCAACCAGTTTCTTATATTCTTTTACTGAATTACTGTGTGTGTCCGAGAGCTTGTTTGGTATAGTGGAATGATCTCAGAGTTTTGGTATTGTGATTTCCGTTGCCCAATGCATTCCTCCAAAATCTACTGTATCCACCCCTTTGCTGCTTGTTTTTTATGTGATAAAATTGGGAAGTATTGTACAATGACTATTGCGTGCTGAATAAACCTACTTTGTTGTGATAATTATACTGGTTAATGTCAAGACAAAACTAACTACCTAGAGAGTTGAGAACTAAGTTGTTGCCTGGCTAGGTAAGCTAGTGAAGGAGGCATGCACCGGAGTAGAGGTTTCGGAGATGAGGAATCCATCTCATATCTTGGCATGCTTTGCATTTAGCAACGTAATCCATAAATTGTTCTAAATTGTTAAACCATATGATTCAGGGACTAGTTTTTATTTGAACATCTCATACCTGCCATGCTTTGCATTTAACAACACAATCCATAAATTGTTCTGGTCTACTGTGTTGTATCTCAACCATTTCAACAATTTTTTGTGCACAAATTAATCTTCTTAGAACATATATAATTTTAGGCCATTCTACTCAATGTATTCTCCTTCGCTTTGGATTAACTTGCCACATCTTCTTCCTTATTTTATCAAAATGTCTTTACACCTTTTGGCATAGGCTACAGGGACATTACGTTAGTAGGATAGTGTCAATGACACTTTATACGTGTCCCTCCCCCCACCCCCAAAAATAAAAAAGACAGATATTGTTTCCTGCCGGTTGCTAATCTTCTCCACTCTATCTATTTATCACGGCAGCCATGTAATTGCACTTCTTCTTAGTGGTTCTTTTAGGCTTCCTCTTACTATATCCTTTCAATCTTCTCTGGTCACACTTTTCATGTCCATCAATCTGATTTTGTATAATTGCATTGTCAATTTGTCATAAAGATTGCTATGTTTTACAAAATCAGTGAACCCCTGAATAGGTAGCTGTTCATATTTTCTCTAATTTGAATTAAGGTTTATCTTTTTTCAGTCTCTGTACTCGGGTTTGTGATTGGAAATCATGGAATTACACAGAGCTAGGAGGTGTTTTCTTTTGCATATACTTATGTTTGTTTGTTGTATGTGTCTGGCAGTTGATATCGGGATGTTCCGTCCAGACTGTTAGAGAGTGTAGGAAGGCCGCCATAAAATGTCGACTGCATCACCTCAAAGTGGTCAAGTTGTGGGGGTTTTATAGCGGTGCAGCTCATGTTGAACTTGTTAGGTACTTCTTGGAAAATGCTATTGCACTCGAGAAAATCATCTTTGATCCCAGGACCCCAATGCCCACTCGCTTTCCTCTTGACCCTTTGTTCGTTAAGAAGGCGCAAACTGCAAGAAATCTTGCTAAGCTCCATCTTGAAGGTGAAGTACCTCCGGATATTGAGTTGGTCATATTGTAATATGTATGTTAATTACCAAAATAATACTAAAATTATTAGACCATTTTAATTTTTGCTACATCAAGGGGAGCTGAAGTGGCCGAATATTTAAGATTTTTGAGGAACAATGAGAAAGTGTTTCCACTTTTTTTTCACTTCCATTTGTATTTATGGTCAAATGCAACAATCAATTTTTAAATATCATTTTTCACATTGAAATAATTTATTTATTTTTTCAAATTTCATGACAAACTTAATTTAAATACGAGTTCAATCTTCTTATTGAATTCATAACAATTATGAGAATAGAATTTATTATTCCCTCTTTACTTGTCCACTATAATAAAAATAGTTGTCTAGTTTGAAAAACCGAGAGAATTTATTATTCTCTCGTTCATCTTTACTTGTCCTCAATAACCTCCATCTCTTTCAAGTTACATAGATACACTATATTAAGAAAATATTTACCATTTATAGCAAAAACATTTTTTTTTAACTTGTTCATTTTTAATACATTTATAATACAGTTTTAATACATATTACAAAGAACAATTTATTATTCACATATAATGCAAGTTTTATTGATGGATAATACATTTATCACACATTTTAATACACTTATAATTCAATGTGTCAATTTCTTACCAAACAAGCATAATATATGTTAAAAAACAGTTATAATACATATATATTGCATACATAATTCACTTTTAATACATATTGCAGATTTAACATAGTATTGTTATAAATGATAATAAATAAAAAGTATCGCTAAAATCAGTAATTATTCATTAAAAGGTATCAATCCAATTAATTCTTCCATCTCTTCTTCTTAATCTGGTCAATATCGCATTTTTCTTTTTTTTAGCAGAGCAGGAGCCTTCAGGCTTAGAAGATGAAGTTGAACCTTCCATTAGGTCCATTTGAACCTTGCACGCCTCAATTTCGTCCATAATTTCAGAATACCTTCTTAATTTTTTGAGACAAAAGTCTTTTTTGATTTAGAACTACCCATTGTGTGGAATTTGAAAGAAAAATTGAATGAAAAAATGAAATCAGCATATGAAGTATAATATATATATATATATATATATATATATAAGAATTTATTTGGGCGGGAATTTTGGGTGGCACGTGAGACTTCTTCCTTATGGAATTGGGAAGAGGATGAAGAGGAAGAGGAGGCTGAGCCTTCTGCTATTGCAGAGATGTGCTCTATTTCAGTTACAAATACTAACTCGTCAAACCTCTATATTATCTGTCAAGCTTCTATTATATTCAAAATGATGTTATATAGAACATACAACATAACATGAAAATCGAGTTCAAAAGAAAACTTTGGTCATTGTAATTGTAATGAAATGTTGGTATAGAAAATGATTCTTATAGAAAGGTCCAACACATGTATGCCACACCTGCTTATATATAAGGTGTAAATTTCATATATGACATATATTATAGTACTATTTTCAAGCTATAGCAGTAGATTTAGACTTTCAAGCTATAGCATTAAAAATTTCAAGTTATAACAAGTTAAAAAAAAGAAGAAATGTTTTTATTAATTGGAAAAAACTTAAAAAATAAATAAAAAGACAAACGAAAATTAAAAAAAAAAGGTATTAGAAATAATAAAGTAAAAAACTGAAATTGTGGGCTGTAATTTAATTTGAATTTATTGTAGATAATTAATGATTAACATGAAATAAGGGATCCAAACTAATTAAGAATATCAGTTTCCTTAATTCACTCTAATTTGTTAAAATTAATTCAAAAATCTGATTTTAAAAATCAATTTCCATTTATTTAATAAATGATTAATCTATTTATGATTTTTTATTATTAATTAATAATATGTAATTAATAAGGAAAAAATAAAAATAAAAACGGAAATAGGGGTGTCAATTAAATTTGAATTAATTTAAGATAATTATTAATTAGCATGAATTAAGGAAT